GTCAAACTGATGTGATCAGTAAATACATCTTTTTAAACGCCACAACTTTTATCTGAAACATTTTTTTCTAAAATGCTTAGTTTTCGAGATATTTCACCGGTCCGGGACTTTTTGAACACCCTGTATATATATTTATTTATTTATTTATTGTACTTTTTGCTTAGATTGTTAACGGAGATTTAAGAGCTTATATCCAAGCATCGGTATCGCGTATTGTTGCACGAGTATCAACACTTTTAGCATCCCATGTAGGACGATATATTAACTTCTCTACACAACAGCATCGAAGGCAAAATATGAATCGTTTTTATGAGGTAGAAAATGTCCCTGGTATAATAGGATGTATCGATTACACCCACATACGCATTTCCAATCCCGGAGGAGATAATGGAGAAATATTTCGAAATAGAAAAGGATTGTTTTCATTGAATGCGCAGGTATCATTACTGTATTTTGTAAACGCAAAAGCAGAAAAAAAGTCTCTTAAAATATTCACTGTATGCTATAGCTTGTATCTGGACCTCGCAGAGAAATTTTGGACATTGTTGTGAGACATCCTGGTTCAGCGCACAATGCTAAAATCTTTGATCGGAGTAGTGTTCGATGTCGTTTCGAATTAGACCTCCTAGATGGAATTTTGCTCGGAAATAGCGGATATGCATGTCGAAGATATTTACTAACTCCTATACTGAGACCTAACAATAATGCGGAAATTCGGTATAATAATGCACACAGCAGGACCAGAGTTATTGTCGAACAGTTGTTCGGTATTTGGAAACGGCGCTTTCCGTGCTTATATTATGGTTTAAGAACAAAATTGAGCACATCAGTTGCAGTTATCTGTGCTACTGCTGTTTTGCATAATATATGTATCCAATATGGATTAGAAGAAATTGAAGAAGAATATATACAGAAGAAATTGAAGAAGAATATATACAGGATGAAATTGTCGAGGCTATGTTTAATGGAGAAGAAAATGGAATTGGACTTCCCTTATAGAAATATCATACTAAAAATCATTGATAATTACTTATTTTCAGTATTAAAAATACTGGATAATAAGTAATTATCAATGATTCTTAGTATGATATTTCTATAAGGGTTACACATAGAAGAGCTTTTATAACAAGGCATTTTTCGTAAATCATATATAAATTGCATTTAAAAGTATAAATTTTGTAACATTGAACACAAAAAATGTCATTTTTATTTTAGTATGTACAACGTACATGTTACAATTAAAAATAATAATGTTTATATAATCTATATAATAAAATGAAATCTTAAAAATAAAAGTTTATTTAATATAAAGTGTACATACCTGTAAACAGTATTTATCTTTTTTATAAATAACTTTGTTTTTATTATTAATTGTCCTTAAATATACTTAACAGCCTTTATTTAAAAACTAAGTAACAGTCTTTAGTTAAAAACAAAAAATTATGCATTGAAAATTGTACTGTTATCAGATGCTAATAAAAATATATAATATTTTATTAACATTCATCTATTATGAAAGATTGCACGTTTAAAATGAAACGTAAGGACTTTCTTATAACAAACTCATACCAGCTACATACAATACATAAAATAAATATATATGTATACTATACCCTTATAGAAATATCATACTAAGAATCATTGATAATTACTTATTATCCAGTATTTTTAATACTAAAAATAAGTAATTATCAATGACTCTTAGTATATTTCTATAAGGGTAATTAAATAGAATATGCGCACAATCTTATTATATATATATATATTCACAGCAAATACTATTGATAAATATGTATGTTAAATTATAGTGGAATATCAGACTGTTGTTTTGCATTTTCTTCAACCATTAGAAGCTTGAGCAATGCAATTTTGACTTCCACATCGGCAACTTCCATTTTCTTCGCATAAAGTTCCCGCTGTTGTGCAATTGCATCACGAAGCTTGATCAGTCTCAATTGTTTTTCATCGTTTATATTGTGAAAATCTTTTTCAACTTTTAATGCTGGTGCTTGTTTCCTTTTTATGGTTTTACTTGTATCAATGTTGCTAACATTGCACATCGAACGTTGACTTATAAAACTTGTAGAATCTTCCTTATCTGAATCTATTTCTAAAGAATCATTTTCCATATCAATTGTAGCTAATATTGCCTCTTCAGTCTTGTCGTCACTATGCACTATAAATTATCTGTTTGAGTTAGTTTTTATATGATCTGAAAAGAAATATTAACAAATTAGATAAACTTAATGTAAGTTCTGAAAAAATGTAGTTTATGGTAAAGAAAGATACAAAAAATATATCTTATATTCTTTTTCCATCTGAGCTGTACTATCAAATGGACATGGAACTTCGATATCTAAATTTGGAGTTGCATCATCCATAAAATTCATGACTGGATCAACAGGTATTGCTGGTGCAACGCTTCCACCCGTCATGAGACGCTGAACCTTTATTGAAGTGTTTAACTTCTTTTTTCTAAAATAACATTTCTTATACCCTTATAGAAATATCATAGTACGAATCATTGATAATTACTTATTTTCAGTATTAAAACTACTGGATAATAAGTAATTATCAATGATTCTTAGTATGATATTTCTATAAGGGTATTAATATAATTATAATTTCCGTCAAATGAATGTTAATTATATTAAACAACCTTTACAAAGAAAGTATTATCTGCTGTGATAAATTGGTCAATGATGAATTATTGTTGCTTAGTAGTTTTATTACTCTATGAGTAATAAAATTATTCAGCAATAATTTATCACTGACCAATTTATTACCAATAATACTGTAAGAAAACAACTGATAATAAAGAGTTGATATATTTTGTAACATATATATGGATTCCTCATGCAAATATTAAGAAAATGATTAACATACTTCTGCTTCATATTGTCCCAGCATTTTTTTAGTTGTTTACTGGTACGAGATGGAAAGCCTTGGCTGCAATATCTTTTAGTAACTCTTTCCCAAGCTTCAGCCTTACATTTTAAATCTGATGTTCCTGTTTTCTTATTTTCTATAATTTGTTCTTCTGATATTAATTGAGCAAGGAGCAATCGTTCTGTCTCGGTATAATGAGTATTTTTCGAGTCGCACTCCATAACCCTTATAGAAATATCATACTAAGAATCATTGATAATTACTTATTATCCAGTATTTTTAATACTGAAAATAAATAATTATCAATGATTCTTAGTATGATATTTCTATAAGGGAATTGCATTTATGCCAGTATACTAATTATCTACTATACTTTACTGTATTGTCTACTATATTGTCTACTATACTGTCTACTATACTATACTATACTGTAAATAAATATAACCTAATTATTTGCACTCTGTCTAAACTATTCAATAAACGGTGACATAATGCAGGTTTTAATCATAAATTACTAAAAATCCCTAGGAAACAAGCTCCTTCTACAAGGAAATCTTAAGTGCACATTATGAAACAAGGAAGCCTTGATCAAATAAGGTTTCCTCCAACAAGGCTTCCTCAATCCTTAAAATAAGAGTCATTTATGAATACGGGCATAAGGACAAGGAGCGCTCCGGAAGACCAAAAACATTTGAGAACGCCGATCTGCAAACGTTATTGGATGAAGATGATACGCAAATACAAGATCAACTTGCGGAGGCATTAAACATTCGCCAAGGTATTTCCAAACGTTTACATGCCATGGCAAAAATTCAAAAGGAAAATGGGTACCGCATGAGTTGACAGATGACAAATCGAAGAGCCACTTCCGAAATTTTGCTTTTGCGGCATGAAAGAAAAAGTTTCCTGCATCGAATTGTTACTGGCGATGAGAAGTGGATATATTTCGAGAATCCCAAACGCAAAAAATCGTGGCTTTCACCTGGCGAAGCATCAACATCGACGGCACGGCCAAATCGCTTCGGAAAGAAGACAATGCTCTGCGTTTGGTGGGACCAGGAAGGAATCGTGTACTATGAGCTGCTGAAACCGGGTGAAACTGTCAATGGGCTACCGACAACAACTGATCAATTTGAACCATGCATTGCTCGAAAAACGACCAGAATGGGACACGAGACACGAATGAGTGATATTGCAGCACGACAACGCTCCGTGTCATCGCACTTCCATCGTCCAGGACACAATCAAAACGCTGAAATGGGATCTGCTACCGCATCCGCCGTATTCATCAGACCTTCCCTTATAGAAATATCATACTAAGAATCATTGAT